AATCTTGGACTTGAAGAGATTGAAATTTGCCGTCTCACCTATTTTATCATCAGCAAATACAACAAATCAAATTTAGAATTTTTGTTTTTATAGCAAAGACTTTACAAAAGGCTTTTATATTAACAAAAAACAGCGTCATCAGAGCAACAAACTAAAAGGTTCTGTTGAAGATGTGTAATCTAATATCTACTGCATGTGCTCGTGCGCATCTTTAATCCCACTTAACTATTTGGCAGTTCATGTTTTTTATACATCACAAATTGTGTGCGTAATAAATGTTAAACTGATCCTTACACAGCCCAGCTCATCCAAATCAACCGCGTTGCTCTCTAAGACTCCGAGATGAGCTTTAAGTGCCTCAGACTGTTCCTCTTTCCCTTCTCTCCCGTTTATTTCTCCTTGCTGTTGTCGTCTGTCTCCCTGCTTAGTAATCCACTGTCCCCGTGACGAGTCAGATGCAACAGAGTACAAGACACATTTTCAGTACACTGCACATAGAAACACGTGCGCGCACAACACATGGCCGCTGCTGTGAATAAAACATGAAGTCTGCTTCACAGCGGGGCTTTAATATGAGATCTACATAAATCAGAAAGCAGTTTCTCTGAAGCTGAGCCGTATGCTCTGACAGAGCTGCACAGGGAATGTTAGAATGTTTTTAATGCGTCACCCTGCTGAGTATAGAATAAGGAAATCATTTGAAATGTGGTAGATGGTTTTCAAAAGGGAAGGACTTAAAGTCGCAGCAAACCAAGGAAAGACACGTCTGCTTCCACCTCCAGCTCCAATCAGCAAGTCCCTCTGACAGAGGTGGACCCCACAACAAATTAAACATTAATTATTATTTTTATTAGAACTATATTCCACCTGACGTCCTATGTGCCAATGTAGGTTCTCCTGGTCGAAAGAAGAATTGGTTTGGTGGCTTTCACCACCTACGGTCATCCAGGAAGTTAGTCCCTGTTTTTCTTTTTAGCATTTCTGTAGCAGGTGAACTTTTTCCGGGGTGGGGTTAACCCCACGTCCTACCCTCCCCTTTTTTTTAATCTGGGTTTG